GAGAATGGAAAAAACAAGTCTTGTAGACAGACATTTGTGTCTAATATTACACAATCATGGTATGGGTTGTCATCAAAAATGTGCATGTGTACATTCTGCTATATTGTTCCCATGTTGGTCTTAACCTCAAACTACTTATTATATGCAGTATAAAGCAATAAACATTATTTTTGATTCCTGTTTCATGTATACCTCTGTACATACATTTCAAGGTATTAAAACATAGGGCATTGTATTTCTCATTATGTATGACAACACAGCTCGTAGATGAAGACATTTACTTTTGCACATTCCCATTCTTCCCTCTTATTATCCAATAACTTCTATTCTCTATGTTTATTACATGTTTTCACTTTCAAGTATATACCATAGTATGGTTCAGAATAGGAACATCTGTGTATTTAGTGAGGAGTGTGTTGACTGTGGCCCATGTACACACTATAGCTCAGCAGAGAATGCTTGTTCAAGATGGCGCTTGGCTGGATTTAGTTACCCGGTGATGTTTTGTAGACTAAAATTATATCAGCATGTAATACAGATATTACATTTGTGTCTTCACGTAAAGAAAACATTGCAAATGATCTTGGTACTATACAATACTCACCCGTGGATGGAATGCTATAGCGGTGACAAAATCAATATGCTGGAAACAACAAAGACACTCCCTTCTTGAAATATGCCATAAACGCACAGTTTTATCCATGGAAGAAGACAAAATAAAATAATTCTACAAACAAAGAGAAGAATGAGATCTTATATTAAAAAGTAAGGCCAGACTTTTATTATCCCTTGTTTCACGAACCCGCCGAATGAACAGGAGCCGAAAATGAAATAAAAATAACATTTTATTTCAGCATAATTTCTCGCGCTCGTCGATTTGTGAGTGCAAACAATTGCTAAATAAATTATTTTTATCTTCATTTTTTTTCCCGCCCGCCGCCTAACAAATCCAAGTTGCATTTTTGTGGGAGTATCATGATCAAAGTACCAAAGTCTCGCGCAGATTTATACTTTATGCGTGTTGGTTGACAGTGAATCTCAGGTATTGACCTCTCTGTGTGCTGCTCAAGACTAGTAGGTGAACATGATGGCCGCAGCGTGGTTTGTGGTGACACGCCGTGAAACTCTGTTGTCAAAAACCGAGAAATCCCTCATTAATGGTGAAAATTTGGCTATAATTGGCGACATTGCCAACCAGGTTTTACATGGAATAAAAATGTATTTCATTTCTTTTCTCCGATCAATGATCTCACTGATAATTCTTTGAGATTCACACGAATGTAATGGAAAAAAAAATTATTTTATTTATTTTTCGCTCTCCTCAAAAAAATTGACTTAAAAACTCAAGAAACAAGGAATCAGACTGCGAACAGGGACTAAAAAAGTCTGGCCTAATAAAGCCAGACAGCTGTCTGGACAAATTTCTTATACACTGACATGTGCCATCAAACATAACAATTTGTTTTAAGATTTATTGTATAGTGCTTCTCAATTAATCAGAACAAATACAAAAAGACTTCATTCAGTGAACCCAAAATATACCAAATTACGCAAATTAAAGGCTTAACACATCCAACACTCAGATTGACATTTGTACTATAAAACTGACCACAAACACACATATTGACATTTGTATAATACAACTGACCACTAACACATAGATTGGCATTTGTACTATATAACTGACCACTAACACATAGATTGGCATTTGTACTATATAACTGACCACTAACACATAGATTGGCATTTGTACTATATAACTGACCACTAACACATAGACTGGCATTTGTACTATACAACTGACCACTAACACATAGATTGGCATTTGTACTATATAACTGACCACTAACACATAGATTGGCATTTGTACTATATAACTGACCACTAACACATAGATTGGCATTTGTACTATATAACTGACCACTAACACATAGATTGGCATTTGTACTATATAACTGACCACTAACACATAGATTGGCATTTGTACTATATAACTGACCACTGACACATAGATTGGTATTTGTACTATATAACTGACCACTAACACATATATTGGCATTTGTACTATATAACTGACCACTAACACATAGATTGGCATTTGTACTATATAACTGACCACTACATGACTGACCTTTGACCAGGACACATCCAATACATCTCCAGTATGTCCAGCATAAGTACAGAATGGTCTCTTGGCAAAGACTGAAGCCTCATTGTGATCCATTTCTAGGGTGCTTTCTGGTGTGTTTTCTGAATCCCTGGAGTCTGATGTAATGGAGTTGACACTTTCCTGGGAGGGGCTTGGTGAAACTCTTGATTCACTGTTGTATTTTTGCCTCATATCATCAAAATAACTGTAATTGTCTTTCAGCACCCAAATTCGGAGTATAGTATCCTGACCAGCGGTTGCCTAAAAAGAATGGTCTTGATAAATCATACAGATTACAGGGCAGTACACTTTTATAATCTATATCTTGTTTGGAGAATAATTGCTGTGAGTGCAAAAAATCACAGGAGTTATTTTGTGAGTATGCATAAAAATAAAACTCACCAGCAACCTGCCACAATAGGAAAACTTCATGGTCCACACAGCTCCTACATGGTCACCACTCAAATCTTGAGCCATTATAATCTGATCAAAATCATATGGCCCTTTATTGTGTGAACATGCTTTTACCTGCAATCATATAACGACAGTTTAGACACCTACAACAGAACTGATCATTGTGCCATCCAAACCAGAACTAAGCGTTGTGCCATCCAAACTAGAACTGAGCGTTGTGCCATCCAAACTAGAACTGAGCGTTGTGCCATCCAAACTAGAACTGATTGTTGTGCCAGCCAAACCAGAACTGATTATCTTGCCATTCAAACTGAATGAAACTGAAACTCACTCAAGTCAAGGGGCAGTATAGAGGTTTAGG